GAGCCCCGCGCCTTGTCGCCCCGGCCACATTTCTCCCTCGCGAGGGCAGCCCCCTTCCTCCCACCCCACCCCGCTCTCCATCCTCGCCTTCCGGGCAGGACACGGGGACCCCCGGGAGCCACCGCCCCCTCCCCCACCGCGACTCCCTGGAGCGACGGGGCCTCTTTGTTCGTGCTGTGTAGCCGCACCCACCCCGCTCGCTCCCTCCGCCTCCCGGAGTCACCCTGGCCAGGTGGCGGCGGGCGCCTTTTGGGGGTGCGCGACCGTGCAATTGGTGGATTTTTTTAAACCGTTTTGGAGGGGGAGCGCGGCGTGGGGGGCGGCGAGAGCGCTCCGGGCTGCGAGCTGCTCCTCCTGCGTGCTGTCGCCCTCCTGCCGCTCCTCTCCGGTCTCCCGCGCGCCTCTCCCGGCGCGGCCGAGCAGCGCGGGCGCCGCGATGAAGGTGCTGGGACACAGGATCGAACTGCTGACAGGTACCGCCGGCCCTTCTCTGCGGCCGCGCTCGGCGGGGCCCTCGCCGCCCACTACTTTCCGAGTTGGAGCCGGCTGCGGGCGCGGCGGCGAGGCTTTGGGGCGGCTCGGGTTCGAGCAGAACGGGGCGCGGATACCAGCCCATTCCCAGCTTGTGCTTTGCCTGTTCCGTGCGGAGCTCGGCCCCAGGAGAGGACTTGAGGCCGTGCCCCGCCCGGCTGTGCCCTCCGAGGGTCCGGGCGTCCGGGCCGGCAGAGCGCGTGCGGCGGCAGCGGGTCAGGGGAGCGGCCCCCTGAGGTTTCCCACCAGCCGAACTCGGGTCAGGACCCCGAAAGGGAGCTGGAAGCCCCTGCTCTCCAATCAGTGCCGCTCGCGCCCCGGGAAAGCTCTCTGGGCTCCCGGCAGCACTCGTGCTATGGGCCTCTCATTTCCTGCTCCTTGTGACATTTGAGCGGCCTTTCTCTAGGGTGAGAAGTTTCTTGGTGGGAGTAGAGACCAAATGGCTTGGAAAATGGGAAGCCATTTCAGACCCTCATGGCTGGGCCCGTCAGCCTTGGGGCCCCTCTGGAGAAGTGACCAGATGCCCTGCTGGAAACCCACATCCAGGGATCAGTGGCGGGAGACCAAGAGAAAATATTGGGCTATGCCGGGAAGAGGACAAGGAAAAGGCAGCAAGGACAGGCGATGGAGGGGCCTGAAGGGTGGGAGAAGCTCTCTCAGGCATGGAGGGCAGGAGCACAGGTGGCTTCTGTGCTCTCCCAGGGTAGAGATTGTGGAGAAACCCAGACACAAAGAAAGAGAAGCAGTTGGGATCCCACCAGGCCTGGGACTTGTAGGTGCTGGATCCGTGTACATCGGATGAACACATGGGTTCCAGTAGATGTCCTTGGGCACCTGGGGGGAGGGGGGCGTTGGTCCCCCTCGAGGACCTTACCCTCTGGTGCAGGAGAACAGAGCACAGGAGCCCTACTGCACTGTGGGGAAGGGGCAGTGATCTGTGGGCGCACTCAGGAAACAGGTTGGAGTCTGAGTCGGGGCAGGAGGGAGCAAAGAGGTTAGAGGCAGTGTCTGAAGACCCTAAAAGACAGAATTTCTGTTAATGGAGAGAAAGGTGGATCAAAGGACCGGGCTGCGAGAGAAGCTTGTTCTGGGGAGTGGTATAGAGGATGGAGGGCCTGGAGAGTGTGTGTGTATTTATGGGCGGCGGGGGGATGGGGGGGATG